TTGACATTTCCTTACTGGTCTGTCATAGGCTGTTGTACCCATTAGGAACTTCAAATACGAAATATGAAACGACTCCGGTGAATAATGTCGCTTGAATCCTCAAAAAAAAAAAGAATGTAGAGAGGAATGGTTATATGGGGGCTATACGAAGACCTGGACCTGCATATGCAATTTTCTGTCATAGGTTGTAGTATGCACTACTAACTTGAAATACGAAATTTAAACAATTCCGGTGCAAAATGTCGGTAAAATCATCAAAATGCCGAATATAGGGAGGTATCGCTATATGGGGTCTATGCAAAGACCTAAACCTGCATGGACAATTTTCTATAACAGGCTGTAGTACCCGTTAGAAATGTCAAATTCCAAATTTGAAACAGTTTCGGTACATAATGTCGCTTAAATCATCAAAATACCGAAAATAGGAAGATACCGCCATATTGGGGCTATACGAAGACTTGGACTTCTTGCATGAGCAATTTTCTGTCATAGAATATAGTACCCATTAGGAACTTGAAATTTCAAATTTGAAAAGTTTCGTTGTAAAATACGGCTGAAATCATCAATATATCGGAAATAGGGAGGTACCGTTATATGGGGGCTATATGAAGACGTGGACCTGCATAGACAATTTTCTTTCATAAGCAGTTGTACCCATTACAAGCTTAAAAAAGACATTTAATACAATACTGTAGCTAAAATCATCAAAATACCGAATATAGGGAGTTACCATTGTATGGGGAACTTACGAAGATGTGGATCTGAACAGGTAATTTTCTGTTAAGGAAAGTAGTACCCATTGCAAACTCCAAATTTCGAATTTTTCGTGTGAAAAGTGTAGCTAGAACCATCAAAATCCCAAATATAGAAGGGTAACGTGGATATACGAAAACTTGGACCCCTATAGCCAGTTATCTTCCAGAGAAAGCGGTGCTTATTACGAACTCTAAATATCAAATTTGAAATAATTCTGTTAAAAAATCTAGCTTAAATCGTCAAAATACCGCATATAGATATTAATATCAGTCATAAGAGATAATACCCATTATGAACCCCAAATGCCAAATTTGAAACAATTCAGGCGAAAAGTGTGGCATAAATCATCAAAATGCCGAATATAGAGAGGTACCGATATATGAGGGCTATACGAAGAACTGCAACCCTTTAGGAACTTCAAATACAAAATTTGAAATATTTCCGGTGAAATATGTGACCCATGTTATCAAAAAACCGAATATCTGATGGTACAGTCATATGGCGTGTATCCCAAAACATAGACCTACCCGGATATTGGGAACACAAGCTGCCAATTTTTAGTTAAAATTGTGACTAAAACACCCAAAAAAATCGGTACAGTTTTTAAGGGGGTCATAAAAAAACGTGGCCGTTTTTTCGATATCGTAAAAGAAGAAGCGTAGTGAAAAGATTTACTCTCATTCAGTTCTGGGACATGGCATATGATTAATTTCTCTCTTTTTAAGACGTAACCTGCCGCATCACAAATGTCCTAAAAATAAGTTGATATAAATGTTGAGTTCTTGGGAGGGGAGGAAGGGAAAAGTGATTCCTCTCTTATTTTTGAAACAACGGTCCCTTAAGTAAGTATCTCTCCACTAATTTTATCAATATGCAATTATTTGGCAACGTCACGTATCGTATCGTAAGTGTCGTAAAAAAATTGTATTAAATTTTGAGTTCTTGGGAGAGAAAAGAGAAAAAAATACATCCCGCTCTTTTGAAGCGATAACATAACACTCTTTTCAGCAATGTAATCGCTCTGCAATTATTTGCCAACGTAACGTAACGTGTCGTACGTATCGCATCGTATTCATTATTACATTTGTAAATGTTATCATTTCATCTTTATTTTCATTTACTTCATATAAAAACAAAAAATAATAAAAACAAACCCTATTTTAAATGTTGGATGTTATATTAAATGGAAATTGGCATAAAAAAAACAAACATAACTAGTATTCAATGTGACATTTAGTTAGCATTGATGTTTTAGTCGGTGAAGTTTTCTTTAGGAAACAAAAATAAAAAGAAATCTATATAAATCTAATAATTAACAAAAATATATTGAAAAAAGGAATACAACGAATTGAAAAGAAATCATTAAACAAAATATAATAATAGTACGTTTACATATAATAGTGTTAACCCACTGGATTTGGATTAAAATTGTCATATCTATTACTTATACTACAAATAAATCCTCTTAAAGTCGGTTAACCCTACAAAAAGCTCTAACATAAACATGACATAACAGTTGGTAATTTAAAAAAAAGTGATTATAGTACGTTTACATGTTATTGGATTTATTATAGCCATGATTTCAAAATATCAATTTAATGGGGATATACGATAAATAAATCCTTTTATTTAGAATTTGTGTATTTAAAAATATTAGTATATTAAATATTCCCAATTTTCAAAAATATTAAAATAATATTTCAAAAATTCGTTTAATGATTTCCAATCAATTAAAAAAAAAACAGACAAATCCTTCACCAATCCATTGCCATCACTACAAAATGTCCCTCACTCTTCCACAAATCCAAAATATTTGTTTTTTTCCTATTTTGTGTTCCAAAACTTTTGTAAATTATTTCCTCATTATTTGTAGAAGCTTCTTAGACTTGATTTCTAAATATTAAGTGGACGATTATTATTATTATTTAATTTTTATAATTTTTTTTATTTTATTTCTATAATAATTTTTTAATATATTTTTACGTTTTAATAAGAGCATGCGAAATTTCTGCATAGAAAAGCTTCTTTCTGGATTTTTATTATTTCCAATGTGATGCTATTGGATGGATGTTTTACTGGCTTGTTTTTTTAAGACTCCTTTGATATGTTGTTGCCTTGTTTGTTTTTTTCTCTTTCTTTTGTTGTAAAATACTAATATTAACAACATACAAAAATTAGAAAGCTTTTCGGTTATGAAATTCTCTATTTGAATGTGATTGTAAAATATATTTATTGTACATTTTGTATAAAAGTAATAACGCTTTATATTAAGTACTAAAAGCAACATACACTCAGAGAAAATGGGTGTAATTTTTGGAAAGGTGAGAGATGGAAAAAAAATTAAAAAAAATATGAAGTATTTAAAAAAAAAAACTCCATCTGGTGGCTAGAAATTGGAACAGTTTACATTTTATTAAAATAATACTATATTTTATATTAATATTATATATATTTTTTTTATTAACTTTTGAAAACCGCTAGCCCGGAAAACTTCATATAGTGGGTGAAAATCATTTAAATTTCAATTATATGGCCTCGTCTTTTGTGTTTTTAATAATGTCTTCTAATAAAAATGTATACAAAGTCATGTGACAGCGCCATCTGGTATCGTATAGTAGTGACCTATTTATGTGCTTCTGAAACGAATTGAGTCTTTGCTAATATTAGTGTTGCACACGTTAGCGCTAGGTTGTGTTTCCCCTGCTCATTTGCAGGGTTCTAGTCTTGGATGCTATGGTACGGATAAAATGGGGTTTATTGAACAGCTTCGTTCAAGAACGCGCATTAATCTACTACTCATATAATTTTTCCCAGAAAAACTTTTCTGAACACCGAAAATTGTAAAAAAATTAAAGAGAAAACTAGGAAAAATGATGATAAATATCGTACCCTTTATCTAACTTTTTGTCTAGACAAATTTGGCCAAGTAAAAAATTTCAGCATGGTTCCCAACTTCCAATTGACGGAAATATTCAGTTTGATGTATGTACAGGGTGAAAAAAAATTTTACAATCCAATTAAAAATTTAAAGTCTTAGGGGGCAAACTGTTTCAAATTATACCTGGACTTTCTTAAAAAAATAAAAAAAAAATTTTATAGAAAGGGTAAAAATTCTCAAATTTTTCGAAAGTTTAAACCACTGATGTGAATATACGGTGAGATAAAAAACTACAACAAAGTCAAACGCCATAATTTTAATATTTTTTTAAGTTTTTTTTAAATGAAAGCAAAAAAATATCGGAAATAGCATCAAATTTTAGAATAAGTTTAGATTTGTTCGAATTGATCACCTTTGGCACAAATTATGGCCATCAAACGGGCAATGAAACCACCAGTCACACTTTGCCCGAATGTTGCTCTGCGGTATTTTGGCCCACTACCGGCGAAGCGCTTGCTTGAGGTGATCGACACTTTGGTATTTTTTAGTGCCAAACTGGCTTTCCTAAATACTCTAGACGCAATAGTCCAACGGATTGGTATCCGGAGATTTTGTTGGCCATTGTGTGCTGGAAATGAAGCAAGGAGCCTCATTTTGTTACCATTCTTGGGTGGCGCATGCTGAGTCCGCTGGTGCTGAGTCCTGTTGAAATGTCCAAGGTCTGCGGCCAAAATGTTTGCGTGACCAAGGCTTTAATACACCCTCCTCTTTTGAGTGTATTTTCTTTCTGTTGCGGTGTAAGTTCTTGCACTTTTTGAAATTTCAATGGCTTTACCCCGAGCTCATTTTCTCAATATTTGACGAATGGAATATTGCGATATGTTCAGCTCACGAGCCATTTTTCGGCCACTGCGATGAGGGTTTCGATCAAGTCGTTTTTTTACTTTTCGGCCAAGCGAAGCAACTCTTTAGCTCCTTTGAGTCTATTTTCTTTCTGTTCTGTCTGCGGTGTACGTTCTTGCACTTTTTGGAATTGCAATAAATTTTCCCCGCCCGAGCTAATTTTTCAATATTTGACGAGTGGCTTAGAAATGGCAGCAGTCTGAAGTTGGTTGCAGTTTTTTCATTTTCAAAATTCCGACGGTAAAATAAGCTTTTGCCTAAAAATATGCCACAAAATTTTGTAAAAAAGTATTTATATCTCTCACCCAAAAAAAAATTACACCCAATTTCCAAATAAATAATTTTTTCAACACAATTTTATTTTTATGTTTCAAATCTTTTTTGATGGAAATTTCTTACGGAATCACAAACCACAAAATGTGTAGTTAATTTTATAAAACAATAAATAAATTTATTCCATTAGCCAATCCCACAACCCAGGATGGGGACGTTCGCTGTCGGCGGGGGAGCCCCACCAGAAAACGCACTCGATGCTTTGTTAGATGAATTGAAGACATTTTCAAAGCCCCTAATAGCCAATAATGAGGTAAGGGAGAGGGTGAGAGGTGAGGTGAGAAATTTCTAATGGTTCTCTCTTTTTGTTCCCAGAACCGACCCGATGATTCCACTTCCGATGACAGTACCCCCCTGGTACAAAGCACTGTTACCACACAAATCTCCCAGGCCCATTTGTATAATCAAAACGAAGCCAATCTGGCCAATTGCATTAACGAACTAACGGCCAACAACAATGTGGCGGCCAACTCATCACCCAATGCCAGCAACAAACCCATTGCAGTTCCCCTCATAACCGCCTCCAATGTCTCCAGTCTAAGGCGTTTGCATTCAATGCCCACCCAGTGTGAGGGTGACATCATACCCATACCCATAATGCGTACCGCCGTGGCCAAGCCACCGGTACCCGAACGCAATGCCGAATTGATCATGAAGGTGGGCAAACGTATACCGCCGCCACCACCACCACGCACCAGTTCCCGTAGTCCCCTGGCCAGTCCCACAAGTCCAAATGTACCACAAATTATGCCGACGGTTAGTGAAACGGAGGTGAAGGATGGCGCCGTTCCCACTGTGACGGTGGCCTCGTCGGCTGCGGCCGCCGCCGCAGTTGACAGTGGTGGCGAAACGTCAAGCGGCAACGAATCTGGCAACGACAGTATGCAACGTCAAGTAGCCTTGGAAATGCGCCACCAAGAGTTACTGAAAAAACAAAAGGTCCTACAGGAGCAGTATCAACGTCTCCAGCAGATGAGTAAAATGCCCTCGGTCGACATAGCCTCGGCAACGGCGGCAGCAGCAGCAGCGGCAGCCACTGGACCGGTGCCATTGCAAAAAATGGGCAGTGAATCGAATATTCAGCAGAAAATAAGTTTGACCCTAACCCCGGCAGCTGGTGATAATGGCAACGGCGCAGTCACGGCAGGTGCAGGCAATGGTCCCGCTTCCTTGGTGGCCAGTGAAAAAATTGTTTTGAATCGTGCCAATTCCACAAATGGTGGCACCACTGGACCCTTGGCGAATGCCGGCAACTCTACCACCACCACCACAACCAAACAGGTCTATGAAACGGAAATACTTTAACATAAAGCAAAACTGACCTGGAACGAAACAGCCATAGATATCTGAAGGAATGAATGGACGCAGAAGAAACGAACGAATGATAGAATCAAACGAAATCGAACGAATTGTCAAAGGGAATCGAAAATTTATAAAAAAAAATAAATAAAAAAACAATTCCATTACCGATAAGATCCCCCGCTCCCGCACACAAAAGTGGAACTCCTCCCCTCAGGGGAATTACGACAACGGACTTTCTTAAGTAAAGATTAAAAATTCATAAAAAAAAATTAAAAAATAAATCACTAATTTATGAGTTCTCATAATTGATTTGAGAATAATTTTTTTATTCATTAAAGATTTTGTTAAAATTAATTTAAAAAAATAATAATAAGTGCACATTTATTGAAAATTAATAAAAAAATAATAATGAAAAATAAAATATAAAAAATTTTAAATTTTAATTTTGTTTGAATAATTTGACATAGTAAAAAAATAAAAGTTCGCATTAAAAAAATAAAAATTTATACTTTATTTTTTTTTTTTGTTATTTTTAAAAACTATGTTAACTTTTAAAAAATTCTATTTTTTTTTATAAAAAATAAGGTGAACGTTTAAAAAATTGACCTATTAAAAAAATATAAATATATTTTTTATTTATTTATTTATTTATTTTTTCCTAAAAAAATATATTTTTAAATTACAATTTTTTCAAAATTTCCCATATAAAAAATAAGTTGAACATTTAAAAAAAATGACTTAACAATATTTAAGAAAAAATTAAAAATATTTTCTACCATATTTTTAATTTACTTTTTTTATTTTTTTCAATAAAAATAAAAATGATATTTATTTTTTTAATGCGCCCTTTTATTTTTTATCACACAGTGTTATTCATTTATTTGTTTTATTTAGTTTTTTTTTTTTTTTCTTAAAGAAAAGTTTGAAAAATTATAAATTAAAAATATAAGAATATATTTTTTAGAAATAAAAAATATTTTTAATTTTTCTTAAATGTTGTTAAGTAAATTTTTTTAAACATTTACTCCATTTTTTTATAATAATAAAAAATTAAAATACAGATTTTTAATTAATTTTAAAAAATTAACTAATTAATTTTAAAAGTATTTAAAATTTGTATTTTAATTTCTTTTTGTTATTTTTAAAAAATAAAAATAAGGTGAATTTTTAAAAAAATAAATGACTTACCAATATTTAAGAACAATTTTATAAAACCAACAATAAAAGGGAATAAGCCTGACAATTTTGCAACAAAAATTAAAGATATTTTTTATTCCTAAATAAATATGTTTTTAAATATTTTTAATTTATTTTTAAATATTTTTAATTTACCTTTTTCTAACCTTTCTTATTTTTTCACAAAAATAAAAAATTAAACAAAGGTTTTTAATTTTTTAATGCGTTCTTTTATTATGTCACACGGTGTTATTTATTTATTTATTTTTATTTTTATTATTATTATTTTTTTTAAGTTAGGAATAAAAAAATATTTTTAATTTTTTTTTTAAATTTTGTTAAATCAAGGTTTTTAAAGGTTCACTTTTTTCATATTTTTATGAACGTGAACGTTTGAAAAACTTGACTTAACAATATTTAAGAAAAAAAAAAAAAACTAAAAATATTTTTATTTCCAAATAAATAAATTTTTAATTTAATTTTAAATATTTTTAATTTACAATTTTAGGAAACTTTTCTTATTTTTTTAAAAAATAAATAATCTGTATTTTAAATTTTTTCTTATCTTCATAAAAATAAGGTGTACGTTAAAACAAATGACTTAACAATATTTAATTAAATATTTTTATATATTTATATTTAAATATTTTTTACTCTTAAATAAATATATTTTTTATTTTTTTTTAAATATTTTGATTTAAATTCTTTTTAAACATTTCTTATTTTTTTCAACAATATTAAAAAAATTAAAAATATTTTTTATTTCTAAATAAATATATTTTTAATTTACATTTTTAAAACTTTTCTGATTAAAAAAAATTAATAATAATAATAATAATAATAATAATAGTAATAATAATAATAATAATAATATAATAATAAAAAAATAATAATGATAATAATAATAATAATAATAATAATAATAATAATAATAATAATAATAATAATAATAATAATAATAATAATAATAATCTAATAATAATAATAATAATAATAATAATAATAATAATAATAATAATAATAATAATAATATAATATTGATAATAATAGTAATAATAATAATAATAATAATAATAATAATAATAATAATAATAATATAATAATAATAATAATAATAATAATAATAATAATAATAATAATAATAATAATAATAATCTAATAATAATAATAATAATAATAATAATAATAATAATAATAATATAATAATAATAATAATAATAATAATAAATAATATAATAATAATAACCTAATAATAATAATAATAATAATAATAATAATAATATAATAATAATATAAATAATAGTAATAATAGTAATAATAATAAATAATAATAATAATAATAATAATAATAATAATAATATAATAATAATATAATAATAATATAATAATAATAATATAATATAATAATAATAATAATAATAATAATAATAATAAAATGATATAATAATAATAATAATAATAATAATAATTATAATAATAATAATAATAATAATATAATAATAATAATATAATAATAATAATAATAATAATAATAATAATAATAATAATAATAATATATAATAGTAATAATAGATATAATAATAATAATAATAATAATAATAATAATAATAATAATAATAATAATAATAATAATAATAATAATAATAAATATCACTGTGCGACAAAAGTCATTTTTTTAATAATTAATTTTTTTATTTATTCCATATTTTGTAAATAATTTTTTGATGAATATCTTATTAAAGAGGAAGAATTTTTTTTAATAAAACTTTTTTCAATTTCCCATTTGGAAAATAATTTTTGGAAAATAATTTTTCTGTGTAATACGATTTTTTTTATTTTAAAAAAATTTAAAAAAAAAATTAAAAAAAAAACGAAAAAAATCAATGGTGCACATTTGAAAAAATAAATAAAAAACATAAAAAAAATATAAAAAATAATATTTTTTTTTTTCAAAATATTTCTATCTTTAGTAAAATTTGTCAACTTGGAATGGCATTTATGTTTATAAAAAGAATGTTATTATTAAAACAAATAATAATTTTACTATTCTTCCAATATTTTGTATATAATTTTTCGTTAGAATTCATTAAAATCCATTAAAAAAAAATCAATGGTGCACTTAAAAAAAAAAATAAATAAATAATCGTAAATAATTATGAAAAAATTTAATAATTATTTATGTTTCAAAATTTTCTTATCTTCTGTTATTAAAACAATAATAATTTTATTATTGATTATATTTCCAACATTTTGTATATATGTTTTTTTGTTAGAATTCATAAGAAAATAAAAACAATCAGTGGTGCACGTTTGAAAAAATAGTTAAAAAAAAATAAGGGAAAAAAATTAATAATAATTTTTTCCATAAAATTACCTTTTTCTTTTGAGAAAAATTTGTTACCTTTGGAATGTCATTTTTGTATGTAATAGGAAATAATAAATGTGCGTGTGTGTTTGTTATTCTAAAAACCAGATTTCAATTTATTTTGAATTTTTCTTGAAGTAATAAAAATAATGAAATAAAAAAATCATAAAAATACTAAATTTTATGTAGCAAAGGATACATACATATATGAAAGTTAACATATTGTGCACTCAGTTTTTTGAACAACAAAAGGAGAAACAAAGGAAGAAGAAGAAGGAGAAAAAGACAAAGAATAAAGGGAGAAGAAATATTCAAGGACACAGAATTAAGGAACATTTAAATTTAAAAAATATAAATTGAAAAAAATTGAAATAATAATTAAACAAATCATGAATCATCACTCCCAAAATCTATAGAAAATTTTACAATCCAAATAAAAATTTAAAGTTTTAGGGGGTAAAAGGTAAAGAAAGCAAATCCTACATTGATATTTGAGTATATTTAGAAAAATATATTTTTAAATTGTAACGATGATAAGGATTTTTTATAAAAAAAAATAATATTCAATTTTCATAGAAAGGTATTAAAATTATCAAATAGTGTGACAGTAACAACACATGTCTCGCAGAGCCCTCTAGTGTCACATAGTGGTAACATATTTGTAAACGGTTGGCATGATGGGGATATTTGCTAAGGGTAGTGTTGCCAACTCAAATAGTGATGTGTGATTGCTGATCGTTCATTTGAAAATTTCTGATTGGAACAGTTCTGCCCCGTGAAGCTTTAATTGAAACAGAAAATAGGATTAAAAAATAAATAAAATTTAGGAGTCTCATATAAAAGTCCCATGAAATTTCATCTTAAAATCGAACCCCCAAACCCAAAATGAATCAAGGATTTGAAAGATAAACCAGAAGACATGAATTCGCTGCTCACAATATTTATACACTCCCACACACACACACACGCATGCAATACATGCGAGTATATTATACATACATTACATTGAACATATATACATACATACATATATATATTTTAATGAAATGAAACATATTATCAGAAATAAAAAAAATAGATAAAAATTAAAGAAAAACATTCCAAAATAAATTAAAAAAAAAATAACAAACAAACCCCCCCTTCCAAATCAAGAAAAAGACAATTTTTTTCTTATTTAGGCACGGGAAGTGAGACTGATAGAACTATATTGTATCTCATGCGAAAATAAAATTATACAATGAAACAACAAAAAATATTGAAAATAAAAATTATTGAAAAACAGGCTTATATACATTTTTTCGATAACCAATCATATACATACAAACATAACTACCACACCCCCTTCACATAACCATTGAAAAAAAAAAAAATTAGTTAATTTTTTAAAATAATAAAAAAATGGAAAAAACGTACTTAAATGCTATCTCCCTTTGTGTAATGTATTTAACAAAAAAAAAAATAATAATAATAAATAAATAAATAAAAAAAAATAAAAAATCACATAACAAACCATAAAGAGCAAAAAACCAAGAATGCAACTAAGAGAAAAAAAGTTAAACATTTATTAAATCAAATCAAACAAAAATAAAACAAATATAGAAAATTAAAAAAACAAAGACGTAAACCAATATTCCTTAAGAATTTACACATGACTTTTTTTGTTAAGGCAATTTTATATATTAAAAAAAAAAAATAAAAATAATAAAAAGAAAATTAACAACAAATCAAACATTCACAAATAGTAACAGAAACAAGAGGTACTTAAGAGATAAATTAAAAAATATAAAAAATAA